GCAAAACCAATTTTAAGGTAAAATACTTTTTGCGAACCGTTTTTTTTTTCATTGTTGTTACTTTTTTTTCGTTTATTAATAAAAAGTTAAACCCTTTTCACTTGTTTGCGAAAGAAAGATTCGTGCAAATATTTCTGTTTAATTGACTGTGCTTCATTTTGCGAAAGAAAGCGAGTGGAACCGAGCACGTTCTTAATAATTATAAGAACTTCTTATCGCTCGCCTCCATCCTTAATCGCATTGCATCAGTCGAGCGTAATTAATTTCATTGAAGAAGAAGAGAAAAATAACATTCCGTCCGTTTATTTTCAATTTAGCGAGTTTTTTCTTTCAGTTTAAAAAATAAATAAATGAACAGCAAACATGAAAACAGGTGATTATATTCTGATGAAGGCAGAAAACTTGCCAACGAATTGATGGATATTACGTTATCGTATTGGAAGCTGAACGCCAATTCAAGGATCAAACCGAAATAATTGAAATTATCGTGTAAATTCTTTTCATTTTAAACATTTAACACAAAATTAAAATGCAAAGTAAATAGCTATGCTGTCAGGGAATGAATGCAATGTGAATTGTCTAGCTGTTTTTTTCTCACTCGTTTGCACAAATTGCTTGTAATTTGGTAATTTTGCAAATCAATGAGTCTTGCGATGACTGGCCTCACTTCATTAAACGTTTTTCATCCGAATAAAAACGCACGCATGTGGGAGATACGTGCAATTAAGGTTGCTGCAATTATTATCCCGTAATATTTGTTTTTTTAATGGAACAAGTGCGGTTCTCTTCTGTCAAGGTTAAGAGCAGAGAATTTCTTGAAAGAATCTTTGTAATCAAGAAGCATGACATGTGTTCACTCTTCGTCGAACAATTGCGTTAATCACAGCGCTGAAAGCAACAGAAAAAAATGAGAATAATATTGCAAATCCATACCAGAAATAGTGCGACGAGATACAGTACGATTGAACATGTGCAATATTTCCGCTTGAAATCCCATCGAAGAAGAATAAACAACGATGAAATGAATATTCTAATTAATGCAAAAGTGTGCGGTAGCTTGTGACTATTATTGGCCGCACCAGACAGAATAGAAGAAGAAAGAAACCTCACACACATACTCGTTCCCATCGTCTTTCCATTATTATAAGTGCCGACCAAAATAAAAATTGTTCATATGGAAACAGTTGAATCATTGCAGCGCAAAATTCAACGCACTTGCAAATCGATTCACCAATGCAAACGACGAAGTTCTCTATTTAGAGTCGACAATGTAGGGAATGCATTGAATTCACTTTATGATAAATTCATTTTATAGTCCAACTGAATATATTAAAATAATTCATATGAAAGTGATTGCATCTAATTCGATATGAATGAGTAGCATTTTGAAATATGTTTCCCGGTGTTGAAATAACAATAAATGGTCGTCGACATGCAAAAATATATGAAAATCGTCAGTTTACTAGGCAACAGAGAGATCAATGCATTCGGGTTGCTTGACTCAAACATATTGAGTTCAATCAAGAGAAAACTATATTCAAAGACTATTCAATCATAGTAATATTCATTTATTTTCATGTTAAAGAAAATTTGAATATATCGGTGCGAGTTGATGCGTGATGAATAATACGAAAAACGCAAAGAATTTACTATAAAGCATATTGCATTTGAACAATGTTCACCATAAAACTTTATACGGTTTTATAATATCCACTCAAGCAGAATGCAAAAAAATAACCGATGGAAGGATTTCGACCGCAAATAAAAAAAACATAGAAAGAAATACACGCTAGCAGAAATTGGATGAGATTTCGAGAGTGAAACAAAAGCTGTAAATTTGCTCTTTAGTCAAATTCGAAAACTGCGTCAGCATCGAAGGAATTGCAAATCGAAAAAAATGGTACAGGCAAAACGTGGATAAAAACATCGTTTAAACAATGGCAGTAGCAGTCCACGCATTCATTATTGCATAATAATATTTGCAAAGCGCATCACCGGAAAATTATGCAAATGAAAAAGCATATCATAAGCAAGAGGGAAAGTTTTTTTCAACTGCAGAGCTATGCACTGGCGAAAACCTGAAACCGGTTTCGACGAAGAAAGTTTATTGCGCCACTAAAAGTGTTTTTTCTGCCACGTTTACTTTCGGGTTGATTTATGGCCAAGTTTTTTTTGTTATTGTTCGTACGGAACTTTGCCGTAGAAAACAAAAGAAAATTACAACAAGTAAGAAAGTAGCGCATAGGTAAGATACTAAAGTTTAAGATCGAGCGTCACGCGTGTTTATTTTCGTTTCTCTCTTTTCCTTTTGTAACAAGGATAAGTTATTTTCTCAGGACCATCACATCAATTTTTTTACTTGTTTTCAACACGATTGTATTATGCATGTTTGTTGTGTCAAATTATTTACATGGTTTACTTTCTCTCAAATTTCTTGTACGTTTAACTTTTTTCGCGCAACGTTTTTTTCTTTCGTTTCTCATTCCAGGCACCGTCTTCGAAACAGTTGGATAATAAGCTTTTAAGCCAGTTTTTTTATTCCATACAAAGAATTATTTGTCGAAAACCCCACACCGCCTGGGTCCGTCATTCGTCCCACGGTGGTCTCGGAGTTTTTGTGTACTTATGCTATCGTAAATTAAATGGAATTTTCGTTTAGTTTGTTTACTTAGAGTATACAATTTTCACTGTTTGACGCTTTTAGGGATCATGTAATTACACAACGGGACCAAAGGATGTTCGGCGACTGTGATATATTCCATGACTGAGACTCAAGCTGAGTAAGTGTGTTAGTTGAAACATAGATTCTCATTTTCATACAGCTTTAAACACAGTACGAAACCAATGATTTATGGTTTGAATTGCAAGGAGAGAACTGATAAAGAGAAGAAAAAAAGAATTGAATGAACTCGGCTTTTAAACGTTGCACGAGTGAAATAGACTTTTGACAGCTAAAACCACTTGTTATAATCTCCATATAGAAAACACCACCACAAAATGTCAGCTTGGCCCAAGACATGCACTCCTCATGGCAATAACAACCGTCATCAACAACATCATCTTGTACAATGTGTATAGACTGTGTACTATTAACTTCCTTTTATTTTTATATTCGAAAGGGGTTTGTTTCCCAGACTCTTTACTTCTATGTTCATGTCATTGCTCACCTCTACTTCGAATTAACGTGTCATAAATCCAATGACGTTGCTCCCAGTCACACAAGTCACTCTCAAAATATTTGTTTTAATTCGTTTTTTTTTTTGTTCTTCTTCAAAAAAAACACCATCTCAAGCACCAGTTCCCTTGTAATTTCCACTGTAAAACATTTTTGCAGCGAAAAATAGCATGGCACATTCGTTGCGTGTCCAATGCATTTCATTTTTATCCAACTGAAATTAATGAAGTATCTCATTTGATTCCATTTCAAAACGAAAGAATAAATGCGAATTAGTAATAAAATAAAAAAAAAGCGTATGAGTTTTTACGAATAGCTGCGGGTGCTTCATAGTATATAAGAAAAAAGTGAATTCATTTGTGCATTTTTTGCATTGTTATTATGCTCTTCAGCTTATTAAAAACTTTTATATTACGGAACGAAAGAAAAAAGGGGAAAAGAGAACAAGAGAACCTAAGTGCGCGAGCAAGAGATGTTGTTTCTCATAGTAGAACACGGAATGAAGACCTTAATCGGTTTGAGGCTTGCAGCTTTTCAAGTAGTCACCCAGGCTAAAATGGGCGTACGGCAACATTTCACAGTGACTTTTTATGTCTGCGCTCTTTTTTTATGCTCTTTAAACGTGTAATTAATTGCGAGTGCATAAATTTATTGAAGTAGTTCCTTTTAATCTCGGAAACAGTCCCTCTTATTTCCATGCACTTATCTCGACTTTGGTAGCGGACAAATTAACATGTCTGGTGCTAGATTCTAATGAAAATTTACCGAAAAACATCGGTGTCAGCAAAATCGATTGATTTCATTTTAACGCTGTTTCGTGATTTCTTTCACTCATTCAAACAAACAATTTGTAATAATATAGGAAATTAGCACAATTGATACATGGAAAAAATTAATTTGATTGGGAAATATCAACCTTAACCTTGTCCACATTCATTCAAATCGATGAGTGTTAAAGTTTTTGCCAAAAAATGTTCGTTCAATTATCTCCATTATTCAGTGTGGATATAAATCATTTAACTGTTAAAACACCTGTCGTTGCTACAAATTGCCGTTCGACACAATGCAATGATATATGGGGTGTTTGATACATAAAAAGGAAATATGATGGCAAATTACATGAAAACATTCAATATTGTATGAATACACACATGAAACAAATCACGTGAACTCATCAAACAATAATAAATCGATCGCATTGTTTGTGATTACTGATAACGATGAAAATGAATGTTGCTATTCATCGTTGTTGAATGTGCTTCGATTCTCGTAATCGAGTTAATTAGTTTAATTTTCGTTCGAAATGATTTCTTTGTCTCTGCATGTGATAGATTGCCTTGTTTTATATTTACCAAAATCAATGAATCGCGCGTGAAAGCAAAGTGTGAATTAGTAGTGTGTGTAATAATAGAGAAGGGAAAAACACTCAATAGAATGGAAAAGAAGTGTGTCATCTCTCTCGCCGGTGACTCATTATTCAGATCAATTCACAAAATTATTATAACAAAGAGGTTATTGGCATCATTAAATTTCTGTAGTTTCAGGTGTTTCTTTTTTTCGCTTTGTTTTCAACGCGTAATTGATTCGAAGGCGGTTCGCTTCAGATGCAAAATTTTCTCAATTTCTGCTATTCGCTGTACGGCATATTTCTGTGAAATTTTCTAAGAAAAAACAGCGTGTGCGACCTTCATTCAACAACACAAGCCATAATTGAAATGCTTATTTGATATCAGTGTTCTGCTTCTTTTTTTTCTTCTCTTAATTGTTTCGCATGGTTTTCTACATCGCACGATCTTAAGTCGAACAAATAAGTACACTTGTTGCAGTGACAAACTAACCATCAACTTTAATGCTATCGGACAGATTTCACTCGCACAGAAAAATGAAAGTTGATTACGCTCACAGTGTACACCTCGTACAACTTTAAGTGATTTTAATCAAGGTACGCTGCCTCGCTCGCCACCACTAATGTCAATTAAATTGCAGTTGTGATTAGATTTATTTTGCTGAAAAATCTCATATTTTTTTCCCTATCGAAATTATAATTTGCATTTATCATTCTTCATTGGAAATTGGAATTGGGATAAAATCATAGAAACTAATAATAAATTACTTAATATTACCATGATAAAACTTGAACACCAAAACACTTTTTATTGCCATCGTCGCGAAGTGTTGCGATCGAAACACTCATTAGTCTGGTTCAAAACAAATTGACGCGCAATATGTGTGTCACTTTAAATTGCGTTTTTTCGTATCTAAACTCGGTTGTTTTTCTTTCCATTTTCAGAGCAACATCATACGCCGAACGCAAATTCCATACTGTAATTATTTTACGCTAAACACTTTATTGAGTTGTTGTTTCTCTTTCAACTTTGGTTCGTTTGTGATGCTTCAATTCTCATTTCTCTCATCTAATTTATATTTTTATTATTTCCTTTTTTAGCCGATAAAATATTGCATTTAATGTTCACCTGTCAAACGCTGTACTGTGTCTCACTCGGTCTCACTCAATGGAATGACTTTCTTTATTGGACAGGGAAAATTAAAAGACAATTCAACTAAAAAACTTTCTCCATCAATTTGGAATTGTTCATTGAAGGAAAAAGAAACACGTTTCGGAGGAAAGAAAAGCCTATGATTAGATGGCAAAGCGATAATAAACCAACACCGAAATGATAAAATCGATGCGATTGTCATTGATACGATGGTTCATGATAAAAATAATAACAATTTATTTTGAACCATTATTTTATACACATTCAAAACAATTATCGGTGAGAAAATTGTCGAATTCAATCGAAAGGTGATGGTGCGTCGTTGCAAGTTGGATTATCGCGATTTAGTTCAAATTATATTAAAAGTAAAAGGTAATTTAAAATATAATTGATAAATCTTTACAAAGATTTTCACTTTTATAAACGGTTTAATCTGTTGTTTTTCATAATTTTCTCAGGAATTTTTGAACAACAGAGAGCCATCTATTTTTCAAAACTTTGCTGTCAAAAATCAAGCGTCAAATCTCTGAATGTTCGATTTTCTGCGATGTTTTACACCAAATGTCATTTATATGAAGTGGAATCATAACCTAAAGACTGTAGTCTAAACAAACCGCTCATTTCATCATTAAACATTGAACCGACGACGTCGTCCAACCGAAATCTATATTCTCTTGCACGCTCTTAATTTTACACGCTCAATACTTGTTTACATAAGTAAAATATAACAAAGTCGCTATAAAGTGGATACAGTGAGACAGTTTTTCTTGGAATTCCAAAACACAACGGAAAAAACCGAACGTAAGTATACTGTGATCATTGTAACACACAGCTCCTTAGATCAAATTTCAGTGGAATAATTTTTTTCTCTCTTTTAGTTGGAAACGACAATAAATAATTGAATTCTCTAGAATAAATACAGCGTATGATACGGTCGCACACCATAGGTTGTTTTTACATACATTTTTTGCTGTATTTTGTATGACGGTGTTTCGCTTTGAAATGCAACCTTTTCATACGCTGTTTTTATTCTATAGCAATCAATTGTTCAAAATGTTATGGAAAAAGGAATCAAATGGTTCAACGTACACGGATATTTTTGGATATGGTGATAAAATTCGGATTGAGAATTTCGTGCAGACAAATATTGGTCGACAAAATCAGAAATGTAACGAACTGTCAACGGAATTGCGACTAAAGGGGAACGAAAAATTCACAGCAAAAGTATGGCGTGAGGCAATGCAATTTTATAATGAAAGTTTATGTCACGCAGAAATAGGTTCAAAAAACATCAGTTTAGCATACGCAAATCGATCATCATGTTTTCTTCGTTTAAATATGTTTGAAAAATGTCTTGCCGATATAGAACTCGCAATTGAAGCACACTATCCGGTAGAATTGATGCCCAAATTGGATGCGCGTCGTACTAACTGTTTGAATCAAATTCAACGCGCAACGCAAATTGACAAAGCCTATCCAAAATTGGATTTTGAGGAAGACGAACATTTCCCAGGAATGGCGAATGTCTTGCAAATGGAATGCAATGCAAAGTATGGCCGACATATTGTTGCCAAATGTGACATTGATGTTGGTAAAGTCGTTTTGGCAGATGAATCGTTTATCAGCATGCCAGTTAATTCAACAAAGCAAATGATATGTAGCAGATGTTTGAAAAATACGATGAATTTTATCGCTTGTGATTTTTGCAACAGTGCCATGTTTTGCAGTCATGCTTGTGCCAAAAGTGATGAATTCCATGAAATATCTTGTGGTAACATTGCTGCTAAAGAGGATTATTTCGTCGCTTATATAACTCGTTCAATCGTAATTGCGATCAATATATTCAAAAACATCGACAGTTTGATTACATTTGTGGAGAGTGTTATCAATGATGAAAGCAAGGGCACACCACAGTCATTGAAAGATATGAAATCTAGATATCGTGCCTTCTTAAAGTCAAACCTTCGGATGTCTGACGAGAAAAATAACATTAACAAGTATCGCTGCACCAAAATATTTGAGTGTGTGATGTCTCAACCGACCATCAAGGCAAGTGTTCGATCAAAGCATGATATACGTTTCCTGATGCATCTAACAATGATGCATTTTTACATTGTTAATTGCAATCTATTCGAAAACAAAATACGAAGCGGAGTATTTTTGATTCAACAGCTAATTAATCATTCATGTGCACCTAATTTGCTCTATTACCACTCATCAACCAAGGCTATTGGCATTACAACTCGTCGAATCAAAAAGGGTGACCAAATATTCATTGCATATGACCAAATGTTTTTGACAAAGCCGCGAGATGTACGTCAAAGATTTTTAAAAGGTGCTTTTGGTTTTCGATGTGATTGCGAAAAATGTTCAAATGATAATTGGCCGATCTCATCATTGTGCATTGCATCCGACCCAAAATATAACCTTCTTTTGAAAGAAATTCAGAATTCTACTGGTACAAGATTGGACAACATTGATGATTCGAAGCGTTCGATTATGAAAAAAACATGTTTTGAAATATTCAAAAAATATCGTAATATGCATTGGACATTTGAACTTGACGTTGTTTGCGTGAACCTTGCGGGACTTTTATTGGTATCTGGCTGTCATTGATTGATTTAATTCTAAAATTCATTAACATAATTACTACTCAAGTAACTATATAAATCTATAATAAACTATATTCATATTATACTATTGAAAGAAATCTTCAATTTCTTCGTGACTTTAAAACATTTTCTAAATGTTCAATGAAAAAATCAATACCCAAAATGATTTTGTTACATTTTTATTTCTACAAATCAATAAACAAATATTAGTTATTCAATACTTTTTGAGATTGTCATTTGTTATTATTTGTATCCGAAACAGTTATGAAATTATTTTGTGTTGATGTAAAGTTTTTACGGTAAGTTTCAACTATTGAGCAAATATTCATTACATCAAAAATGTGAACAAACATTCCATTACTCTGGCGTAAGTATATGCAGACCATCTCCAAAAAAAATTGAAACATTTTATGAGAATTATCTACTTTTTCCCGAACTATTAATATTTCCTATTCAAATTGAAATCATTTTATTGCACAAATCGCGTTTTTGGAATTCATAAATTCAATATGCAAGAAACTCTCTCGCATTCATTTTTGTTTGCATTCAATTGAAATTCAGCGCTGCTGTTGTTATTTGCAAAAAAAAAAATCACTGAATGTTTCTGATTGTTTTTTTTTTTCGGCCACTTTACATAAATAAATATATTTTTATTCTGCAATACAATATGGACCGGGTCTGGTCAAATATGTTTGTTATATATGCATAAATGAGGAACAAATATGGCAATATTTAAATGTCTAGCAATCATTCAAGTTCGAAACGGAAAAAAATGTGCATGCTTAAAATCAAATTGATAGAAATGCGGCACTTGTGTGCATTCCTCTCGAACACACATATAAATTGCACTCACATTCATATGTAAATTAAGTTCGTTTTCAATTTTGGCATGTAGCACGACGAGCACAAAGATTGAGTTACAGCAACGACAGACACACACTCACACACATGACCGATGGAATAATAACAGAAAAAAAACTCGGTGCACACAAACAACAATATAGCATTTGACTTTTGAAATTCACAACACTGTAAAAATGCTCATTGAATTGCATTCTACATGTTTTATTTATTCTGTTTAAATGCATCCGATATTTATTCAGAGCATTTTACATTCTGAGTTGGGCGATTGATGCTGTGTTTTTGATATTTTCGTGATTAAATCCAGCACACTTGAAATTAAATAATGGAATTGGCCAAAATTCGATTGAGCAATTAAATCGGATGTTTTTTGGATCGTTCACTTTATCTTTTTTCTGAATGGCAATATAAATGGAGTTGCAGTCAAAAAGTGCCTTTTGTACTTGTAATTAATTAATTGATCCCTTTTGATGATCAATACAGCAAAAAAAAAAAAATATTTGGAGTGCGTTTTCAATGTTCAGCGGATGCGAATTACATGCAATTACAATTGATTATAAATTAAATAACGGAAAATTGCCATCCAATCTCTCAATCACGATTCCCCCTCTCTCTATGCTATGACGTTGTTATTTATGAAGTGCTGTTGCTGTTTGCTGCTTTTTTACTAGAAACGTGTCAACTTTTACAATTTATAGTCTCTCTTTAATATGATGTCTCTCGATATTGTTTCCATTTCTCTGAACCGTTTTGCGTTCCGATTTATCTCCAACTGTGTTGATAACTACTTTGATCTTTCTCGGAATGCTCAACATTCCATTCGCGTGTGCAGGCACCTAAAGCAATAGGTAACATTGGTACGAATGATGAAGATAAAACAGAATTCCACCTTTAATCTGTTCCATTGCTTATTCTATATTCCTATTTCTAGGCGCTGCCCACCATAAAAAAGCGGTTCAAAACGTTTTTTGGTCGAGTGAAAGTCTGCATTCTTAATGACCAATAAAACTATGCTATTTAAAAGCATCTCCACAACATCCAGTTTGTTATCTACCTTTAGTCATTCAAACAACGTGTAACGTTATTTTTTCCACTATGTATACTTTTCCGTAATATAAATGTTCAATCTTTGAGTGATTGCGGAATCGATTTACATTTTTACGGACTAAAATTACTTCTTTCATTAGCATTATAAGATAGCAAAACGTATTCAACAGAGTAAATAATAAAATTATGTCAATTTCTACTCTGATCAATAATCTCTTGTTTTGGTTAGTATCCAAAGTACCCGTTCAATTGATTAGAATTGCAAAGTGTGAAATATGACGGTTTTGGTCAAAACATCCTTGGATTTTTGTGAATCGTAGTCGGGTGATGTTGATTGTACACTTACGATTTATCATCATTAATGAAGCCGTACCGCGCTGTGGACCAAATGAATTAACAAATTGCACACGAACATGTGACATTTTATTTATAGTTTCATTTCAGGCATAAGAAATGATGACACAATTCAATAAAGCACCTTGTGGTTTTCGTTTACAATTCGAAATTTTACGTGACATTTCAATTTCTGTAGTGCAAATGTGAAATCTTCTCCGCGTCCATTGTCTACAACGTAAACATTCATAAAATAAATATGGTTTTCGAGAATTGTTGAATGTCAATGAAGATCACCAAAAACTAAATACGCAATTTTGTGCTTTTCATATTTACTTACTGATAAATTAATATGATAAATAACGAGCAAAAGAAAGATTTGTCAACGAAATCTGTATGAATAGTTATAACATTTGGAACGTGATTTGACTGTGAAAATTAGCGGCAACTAATACAAGCTGTCGACTCAAAATTAATCTTTTGTTACGGGCGCAAGATGTGCGAACGTTTGTCTTTGCAGTGCTTGGGTTGATGAGTGGCTCATGTTCGGTCAACATTGTGGAATTGTACGTTTTTCGTACACTATGCAGTATACGATTGAGTGGTTGTCAAAATTTTAAATCCGATAATTTCTACTCTATTTAATCTCATTTATTGTTACGATGTAAAACTATAACTAACTAGAGTTGAATTGTTGTAGATCCAAAAATAATAAACGGAATGAATAATATTTGACTCGTTTTTGGATTATTTCACTTAATTAAATTTTCGAATGCATCGAGTTGTCAGACCGGTTCTCTCGACATTTGGCTGCGTAGATGAATTTTCGCCATGTTTCAAACCATCCCGTTTAAATAAATGTCATCATAATCTTGAGCCGGAAGCAAAACGTTTCTCTCCAGTGCGTTGCTATATTTTCATTTGTAATCCCATCAAATATATTAAAGAACAGCCATGCTATCATGCTTCACACGCACCGAAAGTGCCGAAATGAAAGCAACACCAAAAAAAGCAGAGATATCAATGAACTAAGCACTTTGAGAAAAGCACACTTGACCAAAATAAGTCAAGTGAGCAGACAAAATAAGAGAAGAGCAACACTGGTAGCGGCAGAAAAAAATTAACAATGAAAAATAAACCTCCTCTTCGATTTGTCAATGACAGCTTTTTCGCTTGGGGAAAATGTGCCAGTTCATTTGGGATGATTCAGCCCTATCGCCACTTCACACGCACACAGACGCACAACAATCGTACCATTTTGTTTTTCCCAGTTCATCACATGTCGTTTTTCGTCCACGTCTTTTTTTCTCAGCCGACCGACCATCACTTGACTCGGCCTATTTACCAAAGAAAACAATTTTATTTGATGTTTACCATTAGGCAGGTTTTTTTCTCTATCGTTCGGCAAATGTAATAATTTTTTTCTTTTTCTCCGCAATTTTTCTTCCGTTCGAAATTGGCACACAACACTATTTGGAACGGCACTCTTGTACCATCATCAAAAACGTAAATGGTCTACTGTGTGTCATTTGCTACGCCATTTGTATCGATTCACATGAGAGAATATTTTGTTGTTCAACTAAAATTCCTCATCAAAAAACGTATACGAGTTGCTTAGAAAACGCCATGCTTACGCCCTTTCGATAATAAGCGCCAAATTGAATATACTCTTCTACTGTTTAAATATCATCAAATATGCGACAATTTAACAGCAACCATCATCGACAGAGAAATTTACAAAGCTAAAATGCTGTGTAATCGTTGCAAGAACACAACATGCCTTCTGGCTGTTTATTGTGTCTGTGTACAATTAGATTGGTGAAAATTGAAAGTGCTCATCGTCATTGCGTGCGTCGCAGTAAAAACAAAAGAAAATACTTCCGACGATGTTTGGTTCTTTCTCTGTGTATGTGTGTGTGTGTTACACTTCATCTTGTAATAATGATGTTTTGTTTTTCTTTATGGATACAACAAGTGTAATAAACGATTCATGCGCCAAAGAAGGTAAGGTAAGCACAGCATCAGTTAGGTCACTGAAAGTGATTCGTGTTACACATTGATTCTGAGAAATAACAAGATAAAAAACAAATGCGGGAGTCTTACGGCTATAAAGATGACCCATTTTCTTTGTTACGATTTTGTGTTCAATGATCCGTTTAAAATACTGTCATCAACTGGTATTCTTTACAAAATAACATTGGACAGACATACTATAGGCATCATCCATGTTTTTTTTATTTCTTTTGGACTCCGATGATTTTCCCCATATCTCGGATTTTCATCCGTATTTGTGTTACTGATACGCACCTCTGAATGTATAAATCACCCCAAGGGACTCTTTGTTGTTTCAAATGCTTCTGCACAATGACACCCATACCAATAGAGGTGAATGAGATTGCTTTTGACATGCTACAATTCGTAATAATCACACTTCAAACGGATATGGCTTTGTTCAGCCGCAGGTCAATCAAATTCCGTTGACCTTAGACTTTTTAAAATGGTTCTTGTTATGGTTTCCATTTGTGAACGCAATTGCTTGTCATGTGTCTGATTGCCTGCCACAATTTTTATGATTTATGTGCATGTGTTTGAATAGAAGGTTGCGTAGTTGAGATTTGCACAAAACCACAGAATTTCATTTCTATTTTAAATCAAAAAGTTGAACACTTCCAAAAATACGCCGAAATTACTTTTGTTCTTTGCATGTGGCTGATGATGTTCATGTTATTTCTTCTGTTTTTTTCTCAAAGAATAAATTTTCCCGTCAAAATAATGAATATTTTACATTTTGTAGATTACATTTTGTGTGTTACTTGAAAGGATATCACCGTTACATTGCACAAGGTTAAATGTTTTCAGAAACAGTCAGTGGTTTAAAATTTCATCTACCATTAAATGGGTTGCTTTTTTAAA